CTTCGAAGTCAGGGTTATGTAATGCAAAGAAAATTCTAGTCGTTATAGTAACCAATTCAAGAGACTGACTTTGGAAAAATTAAAATTGTGGAATTTAAGTCTCCGGTTTAAAAATCGCTATTAGAAGCTCGTTTTGAAATGAAACTTTTACTTTCGGGAAAAATTTAACGGTTATGATTAATTGGTAACAGGACATCGTGTCGTCCAATTCAGTCTGTAATCATACTCGTGATTAACAAATTGAACCCCCGCTTCGTGGTCGTCCGATTTTGTTAATCACTCGTATGACAACAGACTGAATTGGACTCCAATCAGTCCTATTACCATTATAAATAGGTGCGCGGAGAGCCAATCACGATCGAGAATTTTGTAAAAGATACGATCACGTATGCGTAATTAAAACTATCTACCAATATGTCCAATCACCTCCCAAAGAAAACTATAAAATTCTATTGTTAACCCGTCAGAACCAGGTTTTTTGTGGAACTTGTTAAGCACATCTGCACATTCCTTTATTGTCAAGAAGTCTTTGTAGCGCTCTGCTTCTTCATTATTCAAGCTTTTAAGGTCTGGTAAGTCAATTTGTTTCAAGTGAGATATTTTTCGATTTAGATATATATATTCTTAAAAAAGCTCTCTTTCCCCTCCGGTATTTCTTTAGAGTTACGTAGAACAGAGTCGTCTTCGTTTTTTAATGAAGTTATATGTTTTTTCCTCTGGTTTTTTTTTTTTCTGCAAATTTAGAAAGTACTTATTATTCTTTTCACTAAATTCATACCATCGGGCTCTGCTACAGACTATTGTCCTTGGATTTTTTGGGCAGCTACTTTCGAAAGTTTGCTTTTCACGCGGTCTATTTCAGCTTCAGGCTTCGTTAAATGTTGATCGGATTTGCTCTTGCAGGTGATTAAATTTTTCTAATAACTGACTTTCTCTCCTCGTCGCGATTTTCCTTTGCTTTTCTTTAAGAGAAAAGACTGGTGGCAGCTCTTATTTCCATTTTGATCATTTCCCAGAGGAGCCCTTTAACTGCTACCTCATGATATTTTGATGCAAACTCAGGTATTGTTTTTAGAAATCATTCCGTATAATCTTTGTCAGTTATCAATGAATCATTGAATTTCCAAGAACCAGGACCCCGCTGATCTTGTTTTTCTTCAGAGGATAAAGGCAAACCCAATGCGAAATGATCAGAAAAAACATTGGGTATTATTTTAACATTTTTTAGTGAAGATCGCATATCCTTTGACATCACACGATAATCTAATGTACACTGAATCTTCATCGACGGATTGCTCCAAGTGAAAGCTTGTAGATTGGGATTTTTTGCTCTCCAGGTATCAATAAGATCATGAGCAATTATCAGATTGTTGATATCTTCAATAACCAAGTTTTCAAGTTCGATCGATCGGCCCCCTCGCTTATCAAGCTCAGTTAAGGCACAATTGAAGTCACTGCCCAGTTCTAATGTCTCGTTTGCATAACTGTTGAGCACGGAGTAGGACAAGTCCCTAAGGAAATGAATTTGTTGGGTCTGATCATTCGGTGCATAAATATTCACAAAAACAAACTTTTTGTCGTCTAGAAATACTTGGCTTGAAACATATCTCCCGTACTTATCACGGATAATTTTTTCAATGGACACGTTGATCTTGGGCTTAAAAAGGATCATTACACCACGGCTGTGATTAGAACCATGACTTTCAACAACTTTGTCACCCCATCCAGCTTCCCAGAGCTCAATAGTTTGAGGGGACGAGCATGTTTCTTGAAGGAAAATAACATCTGAATTTTGTTGATGTAACCATCTAAATAACTGCCGTCGTTTGGTTACCCTGGTCCCAGAGGTTTTTCTTGATTTTTCTTCTTTTCTCGAAGCGGCGAACTGCTTTTAACTTGGACGAAATGCTGCCGGAAACATTCAGTCTTCGTCTGGTAATTCCAATGTGGCTTCATACTTTTCTAAAAAACTTTTGGTTTTAGAGTAAGTTTCAGGAAGTGTGGATATTTTCTTAAAAAAAGAAACAAATTTTCCTAGCCCAATCTATGAAGAAATATATTAATTGTCCTAAAACAGACTAGACAGACAGGAAAAACACCAGCTAACATTTTCTGAACTTTATTAAGTCACTGCAATTTCCGAGGTTCTCTCTCTCTCGAGAGAGAGAAATTAAATCCACAGTGCACTGATTTTAGAAAAATAGTTATGGATATTAAATGTCACAATAAACGCTTACCATTCAATAACGAGATGAGCTTCAACCACAACAATCACACGCACTTTTCGCTTAAAAGCGGGATTTTTTAACAGCTTGGCTGGAAAGCTTCCTGCTGTCTATCACTACCTCTGTATGTGCGAATATGAGGTCTGACTAGTATTTAACAATGTTTCTAACGGTGTAGTCAACGAAACATTCTCTCCGCCATCATCTCTCGTCACTCGATCTCCTTTTAACATGCAGAGATTAAGTCCTGCTTCTCTGATCTTAACAATTTGATCGCGAATTAGTGCATTTAACGGTGAAATAATCATCATGAAAAACTTTTTCGCGGACGATTTCACCATGAAATTCAGTACCGGTGGCAACAGTTGATAAATCAAGGATTTTTCGTAACCGGTGGGCAATACCGCCAAAACATCGCTGTTCTTGACCACCAACTCTCTTAGGAGCTCATACTGCTTTTCTTTCAAAGAAATATTAGCGAAACCTAAACTTTGTAATCCATAATTCAGCGCCCCATGAAAGAAATCGATTGTTGCCTGGTCCGCCATTTTGAAGAAAATCTGAGACTGCGCAGTTAAACGGGATGGGCAGAATTCGATTATTTCAAAGCCCGCCGAGGTCATTGTTTCGTCTAAATCGCCTACGAAAAGTTCGAAAAAGATGTTCCCATTCGATTTTTAGCTCTCAGGCTATAATTCTAGAACTTTTTGACCGAAAAGTCGGTTTGTGTTATGTTCGT